CTTAGAAAATGCATTTGCTTTTTGTCTTAAAAAAAGGTATTATATTAACGATTTATTGGTTCAAGTGAAAGAAGCTTGGTTTCCCTTAAACAATATCTTGAGTTCGAGTCTTGTAAATGGAGAGATAGGCGATGGGAGAGTTTCCCTCCAAATGGGGTCTGATGCGATTCGATTCTGGATTAATTAGGATACAATGTGGTTACCGGATACCAAGAGGTTAATAAAAAAAAAAAAACAGGCATTATTATATTTTTACACAATTAACCAATGCTTTAGTTTTTGTATGATCAATACTTACAAAAGGAAGAGCAATATAATCAAACTCTTAGAGATATTTTTTTTCTTTGGACAACATCAAGAAAATGTGTAAAGAAGGATCTCAACTTTGTATTTTTTTTTATTTAAGAATATTAACTTTATTAGTTTTTAAATAAGGATACCAACTTTTAACTTTTTTTTATTTAAGGAAATCAATTTTCAACTTTTAATTTTTTTTATTTAAAGATTAATTGGACAGTAATACTAATGTGATAAATGAATTTTTTAACCAAAATGTTAAAAATTGGTATCTTTAAACAAAAAAGTTGATAATTGACATTTTTAAATAAAAAAAAATATTAAAAGTTGACATCCTTCTTAGAAATTAACGAAATTAACATTTTTAAATAAAAAATGTAAAGTTGATATCTTTATTTAGGCCTTTTCTCATGCAAAATCAGTCAATCCAACTTGAACCAATCAATCCAATCCAATAATAGTTGGATTGGTAATTGGTTGTAGTATATTAATTTAATTGGATTAATTTGATACTTCTTCAATTTAATTAAATTGGATTTGATAAGAAAATACTTAAAACCAACCTAGCTATCTGAACTGCAAACGCCCCTGCTACTAATCACTTAGGACCAAAAACTTGCATCAATAGGCCTCACTCATCCAAAAAACTTTTGAAGTAGACCTTTCAATCGTTCATAGCTTTCGAAAAAAAAAAAAAGAAAAAGAAATAAGAAAGTATTCAAAAACATTACATATTTACCATCATCAAACCACTCTTCATCTTCATCCCGACAGGCCTTCTTAACTTCTTATTATCCTTGGCAGATCTTAACCAAGTCCACCTTACTTATGCAAAGAGTATGGTAGCCTAGAACATGGGGTTTGCTAGAATCTCACAACTAGAAATTTGACCTTTTTTTCACCAACGATTTTCATGTGTTTGGAAAATAATACACTAATTTCTAGCACTAAGCATTGAAAAGTAGAACTAGTTATAAACTGTCTATAATATTTGAAAATAATTTTGATGGATGACTTACTTTTCAATGCTTATAATTTGGTTTGGCATCTTACTATTTTCTAGCATTTAGTGTTGAAAAATAATATTTTTGGTGTTGTTGCTAACTAAAAAATTTTTTGAAAAAAGTACTTTTCCAATTTTTCTTTTCCAAAGCAAAATGATAGAAAGTGTAGAAAACCATCAAATTTAAACTGCAAAAATAGTTTAAGGTTATTTTCTAGCTATAGGTGCTAAAAAATAATCTTGAAAAATGAGAAAAGTAGAACCATTTTTAAGAGAAGTATTCTATTATTTAAATAAATATGTTTACATATTTCTATATAAGAGAGGCATGTGAGCCAATTAGACCAATACATGCATAGCCAAACTACAAAAGGTAGTAGAAACACAGTAATTACAAAAACCTACAAGACTACAAGACAAGGTACAAGCTTAAATTTTTCTCTTTCATGGAAATCCAACATAAATCTGAGAATTTCCTCGTCAATTATTTAATCCAGAAGTGTTTTTTCCTTTCTAGATTAAAATCAGTTTACTTTCCGGCAATTTTGTCGTACTTCTCCTTTAGAACCATCTTTAACATCAAGAATGCCCATCTTCACCATTGCTTGTTGGAAATCAAAGAAGAACATTTGCTGATTCATTGCATAAGCATTGACAATGAAGTTTGTCATGGGGCTAATGTAGAGTTGCTGGTCGGAGAAAAGAAGTCCGTTTTGTCTTAGCAATGTGTAGTAATAAAAGTTGTCGAAGGTGTTCTGGGTGTCGTCGAAGGGTTGCACGGCGTTGTCGCCCGCGCTGCAGGTTTTGGACAAGGTCTTGGCGAAGTCTGAGTCCAGAGTTGTATCAGCATTTCCTAATCTGGCTTTGAAGGATGAGCACCTTGCCACTCCCAGTGTGTGTGCTCCTATAAAATTTAGAAAGGAGAAAAAAATTCTATAGAAGTTATGATATTTTTTTGGTTAAATATTAATTTTGATCTTTCAACTTTAAAATTATATATAATTTTCATCTTTTAATTTTTTTAATTTTTTGATTATGAAAAATATATTTTTTTTAATCATTTCATTAGTTAATCCATTAAATTTCTTTAAATATGCACATGGACATATATTAGAAGTTGAGAGACTAAAAATGTATAGATTAAATTAGATTTAACGGGCCAACTAATAGAAAAACTAAAAAAATACTTTTTTTTTTTGTTAAGGGACTAAAAAAATATATTAAAAAGTTGAGAGATAAAAATTATGTATATATTAAAGTTGAGGGGACCAATATTGACATTTAACCTATTTTTTTATGGCAGCACAAGTAAATACAAAGTGTATTTAGCTAATACCACTCTTAAGTGTTTGTTCCCCTATAAAAGTTAGAAAAGAGAGAAAAACAGATATCTTCAGAATTTATATTTTTTATTATGTGATTAATTACTCCATTGATTTAATTTAATTATCTTATTTTGATTTTTCCATAAAGTTTAACAAAATAATTTTATATATCAAATAAATTATATAAATTAAAAAAATTAATTGTTATTCATTTACTATATAAAAATATCATCAAATTAATTTACATAAAATTAAAGAATTAAGAGGGAGTACAAGCAAATACAAAGTGAATTTAGCTAACGCAACTCCTAGTCTATGTGCCGTTTTATTTGGAAAAGAGAAAAAAAAATATTTAGAATTTATAGCTTTTATATGAGTGCAAGCAAAAGATTAAATTCAATGTGAGCTGACAATGTAAAGGAACCACTCAAATAATACGTACACTACTATGAAACTCGGACCAAACTCAAACCGACACAACCAAAGCATCTGATTTTTTTAAGAAACATTTTAGGACAGTTGTAGTAATATAATTTACCGGATAAAGCAACCATTTCTTGAACACTAAAGCCACGCTGCCCGAAAGCCCTAATCAGTTGTGAGGAATTGAAGGAGGGGAACGGCAGGTTGATTGTGTCTTCTATTTTGGACCTCCTTCCATCCATTCTTCCTTTTGGTATGTCATAAGCTGGACCCCCAGCCTGCCACAACAACACATTATATATATGGTAACATTCATTGCAAATTTGTGCTCTTTATATATAAATATATCGATTTAGTGTTTTACAATTTAAATTACATTAAACTTTAAATGATTAATTATTGAATTGAGGGGATACGCTCTGCATTCAAAGAGTTCACCCCATCTTATTTATTGTGTAATTTAGTATCATTTAAATTGTGAAACACATTTCTATAACTATATAGGTTCAAGAAAATAGTGCATATGAATCTCAATTCTTAAAATCTAAACCTTAAATAACATTGTTTAATATAATTAATAACTTATTAAATGTTGATACTCAAATTTGAAAACTAATCATATACGAATATATAATTGGCTTGTAAATCCAAATATTAATATTTAATATGACAAATTTCTAAATTTCTAAATTAAGTTTTTTGCTTTTAAATGCAAAGGACTATTCATCTTACCTCATAAAGATTAGGATTAAAAAGAAAATTATTCTATAATTACATCATTTTAATAAACTCTCATTGAAAAAAACTAAAATATCATATTTTTAAAACATGAATTAAAGTATTTTTTGTCATTTCTTGCAATACTTTATTAAAATAATGTAGTTTTGAGATAATTTTTTTTTTAATTTTTAGGAAATAAGATGGATAACCAGATGGATAAACACTAATATCATAAAAGTTTCTACTAACTTT